ATACATGAAGATACACGAAGACACGAAGATACATGAATTTATACTCAACTTTGATGTTTACACAGTTAGTAAGGCGCTGTAAATTCCAAATCTGGCTGGAGATCAGAAAAGCAGCTGGCTTGCAAACGAATAAACCAAAGACCCTCTTTCACGGTGGTTCCCCTGAATTCCAGATCTGCGAGACAAATTAAACAGGCTTGTAAACCAAAGCAACTACTCCTCCGAGGTGGTTCCTGAAGACTCACCTTTGAGCACTTCGAACGATCAATTTGTCGATCGAGGGAGAGATTTTTGAAACCCTGTGGATAGTCTGAGAAGACTCCCTGTCAGGAGGCGACTCGCGATAGGGTAGAATATAGATTTATTTATGGCACTGTTCGATACCGTACTTACTTATGGGCAAATTTCAGCCGTACCTAGGCGAGGCGTTAAAAATTAATCATTTTTACCCTTCGAGGACGAGTACTTTATACAAGCGCTGGACGCTTAGTAAACGAAGTAATTCAGTGTACAAATATTTTAATTAGAGTCTCATCTTTAACCGGAGTCTTTGATTGAGTAAATTATGTAAATAATCACGTGTCTCGTCCTCGAAGCGTTTACAACAGGTGATTATTTCTAAATGAAGAACGCTTTTTCTTAATCATTTTTCGTTGATATTAACGCCTCGTCTTATGGTTGTCTCTTTTTCTCCGATACCGTGAATATGTAAATCACGATTGACTGCGGATGTGTACTTCGTTTTCGTTCGTATGTGTGTGTCTTTTTCTCTTCTTTTTTACGTAGTCGAAGACAAGAAATCAACGCGATTCTAGCACGCGCGGATATGTAACTCGTTGCGTTCGTTTTACCACACGGATTTATTTTATAGTGAGCTGCTTCGTTTCTAGAATGTATTCCTACCAGTATTTGTACATAACACGAATTACACACGAGGCAACTAATTTTATTACAATCATGTCTTCGTTTACTTCTACGCTGACCCACGTTATACATATACGCAGGCCGAGTCGTAACTCTTCCCAAGGTCGATACATTACACGCCATCGAACTTGACTTTCGATCCGCTACAAGGCTACGATATCGAAAGTACCCCGATCTATTAAAAAAAAAAAAAAAAAAAAAGAAAAACATCGATTTTCTGTCCGAACAATTTTTCCTTATCGTTAAAAATAACGGAGATACATCAGGTACAACTTTTCTTGATTCAAACAAATTTCTTGTCAATCTGTACACTCTACACGTAGCCCTGAGCGCAAGGAAGAGTCTGAATCTGGCGTAATCTTCTTGGAAATAATTCCCAAAGAATGTTACACGAATTCGGTAATTTGTCGAAATTTATCCACGGTTACATTTTGAAATTAAACCCTTCCTCCCTTTCGATTCCGTGAGGACGGGTCCCTAAGCGATAAGACAGAGTTGGTAACTTAGAAGAAGAGGAACGCGACGGAGTAGCCCTAGCTAGACGAAGAGAGGCGCCGAGAGAACGGACACGACAGTGAAAGTGGATCAATACGCCGAGTTAACGTTTCGCCGTGCAGCGTGCGAACGGGAGTCTCTACTAGCTTATTTTCTATCAGAGAATACAGTCGTCTCGTTGCGAGGCCAGTTTGCAGTGTCATTGTCGTCGATCTCCTCGCTCAGGATCGTTTCGCGTCCTCCTCTCGACCTGGCGGAGACGTCTTCAGCTCTCAACTATGGAAGACCGTTCTCCGTCTGACGGAGCGTGTCGTGGCTCGTGGCTGACCAGTGCGTGCTCGTACAGCTGTCAAAACAAGAGACATGCTTAATAGAGTGACAGTTGCCGAAGAAAACGTCTGGAGAACACGAAGTGTGCTCTGTCTAGACATGACGATGCTCAGGTTGAAAGAGTAGCGAGGGAATCCCTGGATGGGGAGGACACTAAATTTCTGGGTCTGGGATTCGCTCGAGCATCGACCGTCATGTATTTTTCTTACCTTGTGAGTAACCATTTCTACGTTCGTATCACACGTGTGCATAAGTTCTTGTGTTACGTTACAAGTTCATTATCAAGCTACGTTATCGACCGAATGAATTGTCAACAATTATTGTTTGCATGTAGGTTGACCAGGCGTTTCAACATCAAAAACACGTTGTTTAAAAATAAGGATATATACAATTTTTTGGCGCCCTCTGAATGTAACAGACAGACCTTATGCTTACACCTGTCGCTTATCATCGACTGGTATCAATCCACTTCCTGATATGGTAACCGATACTTTATCTATTACTGAGATAGTATGCTTCCACAGTACGCTTCCATCGTTATATATAATACCACCCGTTTTCTACTCTTCATCCAAGGAAAACGAGCAACTAACTCAGCTTTTCCCTTCACAGTTTCCCAAGGTCACCTGCAACTCTAATCTACGCTGTTTCCGTTTCCTCCGTTGGACCATCCTGGTACCCCTGGTCATCTACCTTTCCCTCCTGTTCGTCAAGTACCAAAAGAACGTGCCCCTGAAGAGCCTAGCGTCCACGGACAAGGACAAAGAGAGCGAGATGATCGAGAATCTGTTCGTCGAACTGGAGGCGGTGACAGTCGATACGAGCAATCTCGATCGCTACAAGGGCCAGAGGTACGATCGCAGGGACGAGCAGAGTATAAAGGAGGCGGAGGAAGCGGAGAATCGCGAGAGCCCGCGGATGTTGCTCGAGGACATCTTTCAGAGGGCTGACGTCGACCAGGATCAGCTGTTGGACATCCTGGAGCTGGCCAAGTGGATTCACACCAAGATCACGGAGCACGTCAGCCGTGCCATGCGCGAAAACGTTGGCTTGTTCACTGCGATTGACAATAATCCGCGGAACGGTGAGTCTGTAAAACATTAATGACGAATATGTCATATAATATAGTAATATAATAAATACGTGCTAAATATAAGTATAAATATAATATAAAGAAACGGTGTATGCACTTCAAAGTACTTCGTGTAAAATAT